ACGTTCCAGTTGTGGATCAGCGGTCTCCTCGCTAAAACTTTCGCCCTAAAATGAAATGAATCAAAGTCAGACATATATATAAGGCTATGTAAGAGCTGTCCCGAATAATTATTATATATAGCTGCCTCTGTGACGCTGAGACAATGGCCTGCAAGTGTACGCATGTATACGCGCCCAATTTTGCTTAAGATAATGAAGGTCTGGTCGTTAAATTTTTCCCAAAATGAGAATATGCCTTGCGTTTTCAGTGAATTTCTCATAGCCTTGCTTTCCAGAAGGTATACTTGATTTCCTTTACCGCCCCAGGGACAGGCTGTAAACATGATGTAATGGTGTCAGCCACCATCGATTCAAACTAAAATGCAATAGTGTCTTTCAGCTGCTAATCGAAAAATGTAGACTCAAAATATCTGACGAATAAACAGAATGGATTTGGTCATAGGGATCCAGAAAATTAATCTTTACGAGCTAGTTGTGAAAATGAAACATAGGCCATAATCGTTAAAAACTGAGATACTTTAGGCTAATAAGTATTAGCTTTCCAAATAATGCCCACTGCGATTCATCAGACACCCTATTGCTAGTGGAAGAAGAGTACAAATAAAGATGCTTAAAATAAGTAAGTACAATTTATAGTCCCGATATAGTCATTGAAAAGGAAGTCAATGACCATGTTTGCTTACCATATCCTTGGAATCATTAGAAGGCCTGGCTGGATAAACGCCAGCGCGCAGAAAAGAGGCCTTCCACGAATCTACGAGCTCCGCTGTCTCTGCACAGAGCTCTAGCTGCTTGTAGTCCTTGTAGACATTGCGACCGTCGGGGTAAAATAGCGCAAACACATGTTTCTTACCAAAGAAACCAGTCTCCACGCTACGTATTTTGAGCCCATCAACGGGGAGAACAAAGCGCTTCTCTTTCTCCTGGTCAAGCGAAACAGTTTAGAGTGAGAAGTTATAAGAAAGTGAATACAAGAAAAAGATCAAAGGAAATACAGGCAACAAATCAGCGAGTTTTTCTATAAGTGCGTATTGATATTGCTGAACAGGACCAACTAATGCTTAATAAACCCAAACGAAAACCGAGTGAGAAAATAAGCACAAAGGTAGTCTCAAAATAAATTCCTAGTATTCTGGCCAAATAACGGACTTTAAAACCATTACTCATCTTATGATCACCATTTTTCTCAAGGCTCATGTAGATGCGTAACAATTCTTGTGGATAGAGGCGATTATGTTTGAGAATATGAAAATCTGGCGAGTTAACTCTGCAGTAAAGATAAGTCAAGCGAATGAAAAACGTTACGATGCTTAACTAAACATGATCAAAGAGGATAGATCTAAATATGTCATATGCCAGTGAATTCGAATGCAAAATAAAGTATTTTATTCAATCTGTCGTGAAGAGTCACGATTATCTCCTAAAACATCGTATAAAACTGGCAAACAGAGACAACTATTGGATTCGTGATATCTGCGACCAAGAAATTATTAAGGTATGTCTGCTTGCCATCGATCCTTAAATAATTATTGATTTGGCCAAATTACATATCCACTTACTCCGCCCTATCCAGTTTTTGCAGTCTCAATTACTCCGACATATCTTGTTAAATCTCGAATTAATGTGGCCGCAAAAAGAACTGTGTTAAAGAAGTTAAAAGGGGGTTCACTGTTAGCTAGGTAGTGCATTCTTGATTCTTTAATTTAGTCTTTAATCCATAGATCACATCTATATGAATGATTCACGACACCCATTTGTAGAGAAAAGTAAGATCTGATTTGAGTGCATTCTCAAGAATATTTGCAAAAAAACCTCCATAGTATTCTGAATAGTCCTAATTTATAGCTTATCAGACCATTTCATATGCAATAGAAGTTTCGAATGTATTCATGTTGATTGGAACATCGTTACTGTGCAATAAACACGCGGGAAAATGACATTTGTGGCTGTGGAACTGAAATAAAGTGGGATTGAGATGTTGATAAACAGGAAAGACAAAGGCCTATTGTTACTCAAATAAGAGGCAATGAGAGGTGAGAGTAAAACAGGTAGGAAGATATGAAAGCAGCAAGAGGGATAGGGGAAGTGACGAAATAATGATGAAAAGTATAAAGGAAGCAATGGAGATACATAAGCTAGATTACAAATCTATTGGCCAAATAAAAGGGTGGTTTTGCAGGATTGTTTAAACACGTGTAATTTTTAAAGCTATTTTTGCATGCGCTATCGATTGGGTACCGAGAATAAGAGGAAATATAGGCGCATGCCAGGGTGCCAGATGGAATGAGAGGATTACCAAAATAAAGCAGATTATTTATGCATTAATCATTTTGTGAGCACATTGACAGATGAGGTTCGAATACTAGCCCTAAAGCTTCTTCGATTGCCCTGAAACCAAATGAGTAAAGCGCAAATAACCCATCAAGCTGACTTTCGTTTAGTGTGAAAGTCATGCAGAAGATTCTTGGGTCAAACCCAGCTGAACACTATTCCTTTTGATCTGTTGTTGCTTGATTATTCTGTGATGCTCAAGCTGATGCGATCCCCGAGACAAACCACTTCAATTGAAATGAAGTAAGCTTTCGCTTACCATATGATATATAGCTCACAAAAGACTAAACCAATTTCAACAATTATCTATCGGGAGAGCAGATATTCGACAAGACTTTACATTAAAAAATAACAATGCCCATAGTTATTATATATTTAGGATTAAATATTTTTCTTACAAAGTGGAAATCATGACAACTGAATAAAAAGAGGACTCGAAATTAGATTGAGAAGCCCCCACAAATGTTTCCTTATGATATATTTCATTATAAAACCATAAATATTTTTTATATTTCAAGACCCTTTCAAAGTGTTTAAAAGTGGTTAACACAAAGAAAGAAAATATATATAGAAAGGACTACTACCGAAGCAAGGATTACAATGTAAATAACAAGCCTGGCTCGTATCATAAAAAAATCCTGCTTGTCAGAAAAGAAAAGTGGCCAAAAGACTGGAAGATTATATAACTTATCCAACGAAAAACTTTGATTTGTCATAAGACAGGACCGAATAGTCTTAAGCCAAGTACAGATACAAAAAAAGTTTTAAACATAAAAAGATGAGAAATATATAACTTCAGCCCGAATTTGCCATCTTTGAGGTGACAATTTCGATACTACCCTTTCCAAATTTGCCTTCAAAAAAGTTAGTAAAAAGCTTACCTCATCATCTTTATACCAAGTCAATGTTTCTGCGTTTAGTACAAACCAAAACTCCTTGCTACCCCCTCTCAAGAGGGCCACGTTTTGTAAGCTCAGCCAACCCCTGCGAATTACCTATTCGGTAGGAAGAATTAAAAATAAAAGGAGATTAAAAGGCGAAAACGACGTATTCACAGGGAAGGCTAGAACAATTAAAGACCTTAAATGAAACGGAGATGAAGTATCTACGTTTCTGATTGAAATTTCTAGACGTAAAGATTGATGTTCAAGCGGAAGCGAAGTATTTAAAATAATAAGTGAAGCACTTGGAAGGGAAGCGATCATGAAAGAAGATATAAAATAAATTAATAAATTACCAGGATAAATTAATGAGTTAGTTAGATGTTAAAATCAAATAAGGGGTTAAAGCACAATCAGCTTTGGCAGAGCAGTATCACTCTGCAAACCAAATAGACATTTGCATAATAATTGGAAATTAAAATCAAATTGGGTAATAACGAATTTAAGATTATCCGCTGGTAATGAGGGCTGATTGAAAAAGCTTTGAGAATAAAAAAAACAACGTATCGGGGTTTACAATAGGCAAATAAAAGGATAGTATAATGAATAATAATAGAGGAAATTGCAAGCAAAAAGGCTGGCAGCAGAAGTAACATACTGCATTAAAACTCGTACATCTTACGTTAGCGATACCATAATCTGTGGGAATAAAACGGAATGAGTTCTGGAAAAATACCTAATAAAAAAATAACGAAGTAACAAAGTAAGCAAGGATCCTTTAAAAAGAGAGGAAAAGAAGGTATCCGAAATAATCTTGAAAATGATCTAAATAAACTAAAGCCATACAACGAAATAAATGTAACAGCAAGAGCGGACCCTATGGAAAAAAGTGAATTAAAGATAGAGAGAAACCTAAATGATATTGAAGAAAAGAATTCATGTCATTGCGGTAAGACTAATAAAACTTTGCGTATAAAAGTGGCAAAACGAATCGAAGAGACAAATAATTTATTTAATGTATAATATTTACATCTCGCATTAAGTGCATAGGTATATTCTATTTCTCTTTTAAAAACTATATTATAAGAAGAAAGTGTACTTCAAAAATTATTGAAGTGACCGTCTTGTCAACCCAAAACAACAAAAATGCATCCTAAGTTCTTGTTCAATGGATCCCTAGCAGACCAATGAAGCAAGCTAACGGTGCCGACTTAGAGAGAAAAGGGTAATATGACGCAACAAAATGAAAACGAATCAGTCATAAAAGGCCATGCATAAATATGTAACTATTCGACTAGAAGTATCGATCTTGAATGATCATTTTAAATATATTTGTTGTTTCTTTTTTCTAATATCCTCTTCCTTCTTCCTCTCAAATTCTCGCTCTCGTTCATATAAAAAAAGTATTACTCGCATCAGTTATCGGAGTAGCAACTCGTATATCCAAGCTTACACAAGGTAAAGATTGGAATTAAAATTGGGTGGGGTAATCGATAAGTAAAGGCATGAATTGATAGCCTTGAGGTCATTTAAAGGAGCAGCAGCCATAGTTCATAGGGAAACAGACAGATACAAGAGAGAGTAAGAATCTTATCCATAATATTCTCCCCTAAATATATATTTGCTGTCGAGGCCGAATAACCCAATTGACAAGTTGAGATGTGCTGTTTGAATGAGAAAGTTGGGTAAGACGACTGATATTCCCCTGAGACATTGCCAAGTAGGATCAAAAAAATCACCGCAGACAGAATAAAGAAGGATTACGTGATGAAGGACTGGTAGAAGAAGAC